CGTACCTGGGCTTCTGTATGCGCGTGTGTGTGTGTATGATCAGAGCGTGTATGGCCGAGAGATGATTACTGTCTCGAGACAGATTGAAGGATTGGCGTACATTAGACCACACAAAAAAATGCATTAGAATGACAGGTAGCACAGAGGTCGGCTGTTGTCGCAAGGTTGTCGTGGCGGCTGAACCTCTTCTTACACGACACAAAGATAGCAGTGTCAGGCCAAGGTGACGTAGGTGGTACAAGTTCCCTTCAACCAGGTGTTTTGAGAACAGCAATTTGCATGTTCTACTCTTGCCTTTCAGTTGCAGAAAAAAAAGGGATCGTTGGTTCGAAAATTGGGCATCATTGGACGTGTCCAGTATTGTACCACAAGGCCACACTCACTGTACAAAAGAATTGGAAGTCGCTAGACACACGCCAATATTTATATATATTTATATATATTTGACAGTGTCAGACCACGGAGGAAAATTGAAACAGGAATTTCCTTAAGTACTTTCGTATATTAATACATCTTCAGAAGGAATCACTCCTTCTTCACTCCTTCTGAAGATGTATTAATATACGAAAGTACTTAAGGAAATTCCTGTTTCAATTTTCCTCCGTGGTCTGACACTGTCACATTTTTAATCATGTGTTTATTTTCGTGATATACACACTTATATATATATATATATATATATATATATATATATATATATATATATATATATATATATATATATATATATATATATATATATATACCTATACCTATACCTAAAAGGGGTACCACCTCTGGTGCAAGTGTAGGGACCCATAGCCTCGGAGAAGAAAATAATGAGTACTCAGAGAAGACCTTGTGGATCCTCACTGAACACTTTGATATTTTCTTCCCCTACCACCCCTATTCTTTTAGTGTGTGTGTATATATTTTTAACTTTATTTTAAAATTTCCTTACACAAAATGGGTTACAATATTTGTTACATGCAAGGTACAAGGCTGCTTGGCACAAGTTGTAGAGCTCCTCTAGCTCCTCAGATAGCGGGCAGGAACCATGGATGCAGTGTGCATTGCCTCTCTGGATCGCCACACTAAGGCGCTGAAAGAGAAAACTGGCGGCTCTAGGGTCTCTAGTTGTTTCAATTAACTTAGACCCCGTCATATTTGCGATATTTCCGATATTGTGAAAACTGCAGGGGGGGGGGGGTAAAATGTGACAAATCACACAAATCACAGGGTTGTTAGTCACTAACTAACTGGCAATTTTTCGGTATAAAAATTCGTAATTTCAAAGTTTAGATATGTGCAAAGAGTCAGAATTCGGGTGAAAAATCAAGCAAAGAACAAATCTGCCTATAGGTATATTATTATATTATAGATATAATATATGTAGATGTAGATATATTATAAAGCACGTTCATATTTTGTTATTGATACGAAAATATATATATATGCACGCTGGAAAATAACACAAAATCAAAGAGAATACATCCTTTATAAGATCTTGATTTGAAGTGGGAGCACGAAATTGAAATTGAAATAAGATATAAATACAAAAGCAAGGAAGCAGATGATCAATACAATGTGGTTTGTATATTTGTGTGTGTCACAAGCAAGTGGTGTATTTCCTGAGGGGCTGTAGGTGTTAATGAGAATAATGCTGGGACGACCACTAATGCTGGGACGACCACTAATGGTGGGACGCCCACTAATGGTGGGACGACCACTAATGGTGGGACGCCCACTAATGCTGGGACGACCACTAATGGTGGGACGCCCACTAATGGTGGGACGACCACTAATGGTGGGACGCCCACTAATGCTGGGACGACCACTAATGGTGGGACGCCCACTAATGGTGGGACGACCACTAATGGTGGGACGCCCACTAATGGTGGGACGACCACTAATGGTGGGACGCCCACTAATGGTGGGACGACCACTAATGGTGGGACGACCACTAATGGTGGGACGACCACTAATGGTGGGACGACCACTAATGGTGGGACGATCACTAATGGTGGGACGCCCACTAATGGTGGGACGACCACTAATGGTGGGACGCCCACTAATGGTGGGACGACCACTAATGGTGGGACGACCACTAATGGTGGGACGACCACTAATGGTGGGACGACCACTAATGGTGGGACGACCACTAATGGTGGGACGACCACTAATGGTGGGACGACCACTAATGGTGGGACGCCCACTAATGGTGGGACGACCACTAATGGTGGGACGACCACTAATGGTGGGACGACCACTAATGCTGAGACGACCACTAATGCTGATACGAGGTACTTGTAACCAGGTACACCTGACCTTGAAGCGCTAGACACCTGCCCTTATACCCACAGCACACCTGTCTGTGAGCCCAGCGACATGCTAACCCCATCAGTCACATATGACCGTATCCAAGGCAGCCCGAGCACAAACGCTTCCGTCAGACGGGTACACAAAAAAAATACAATTTGTTTTTTCATTGAAAGATAAAGTAACTGAACCACCAAAGATTTCAGCTTTAAATCTTTATACAAACACACAAGCAATGTCAATATCTCTGTTCCGAGTGAAGAGGTCAGGCAGATGCTTAGGGGTAGCCACACCAAATGTTTGAAAGGTGCTCTGTGATTGTATGCCGTGTGTAAGAGAGGTAGCTGGGGGATCGAACACCACCCCCCACGCCCCCTCTTGAAGAAGGATCGGCTAGTACTATTCCGAATCCTCAGCGAGTACTATGATGTATATAATTTAGGGTTTGATTGTCCTGCAGGGTGTTACAACAGATTTTACGGCTGTGATCGAGGTTGGAATCAACATTGATTTAATATTGGTAATATTGATTTAGTAATGAATGTTGCTAAAGTCTCTCTCAACGGACGAGAGAGAGAGAGAGGGAGAGAGAGAGGGAGAGAGAGAGGGAGAGAGAGAGAGAGAGAGAGAGAGAGAGAGAGGAGAGAGAGAGAGAGAGAGACAGAGATTTTCCTATATTCCAACTTTCAAAAAAATACATTTTTCCCATACAAAATGAGCCGAGGAAACACGCCCAAAATACTCAGTCAGTGTGGACAATAATCACGCGCCAAGAGCTGACTTCAGATCAAATGTTGATGTCCAGATATTTGACATTGTTGCTGACGTGTTACGGCGAAGAGTCCCGGAGAGTCTCGAACAGTTTATAGTGTCTATTATCATACAAATAGAATGTATACAGCGATCTTTGTGCTGTGAATGACTTGGTCGTTGATAAGCAGTACGACATTCCTAGCGTGGCAGCTGGCCTGTTCATCCAGCTGTTCTTTGATACAATCAAGCCGGCTGTAACAGCTGCTGCTGCTGCTGCTGCGTGTGTAGAGTTTCTTTTTAAATATCAAACTTTTGTGTTTTCCCTCGAAAAATGATCTTAAGGTCATTTTTTGAGGAAATTATAAGTTCATTGTATATTATTGTTTTTTTTTTTTTGGGTGCTGTGTATGTTGTCGTGTCCGTAAAGAACTTGATATCATTCCGGGATCCTGTTTTTACACGATAACCAGCCGTCGCTTGCCTTCCCACGTTGTCGAGTCGGGGCGTCAGGGGGGGGGGGGGAAGACTCATTCTCTCTCCCTCCCATGGTATCTTTCACACACACACACACACACCACACACTAACACACACACACACATTCTTCCCTCCCCGTCTCTCTCTCTCTCTCTCTCTCTCTCTCCTCTCTCTCTCTCTCTCTCTCTCTCTCTCTCTCTCTCTCTCTCTCTCTCTCCTCTTCTCTCTCTCTCTCTCTCTCTCTCTCTCCCCTCTCTCTCTCTCCCCTCTCTCTCTCTCTCCCCTCTCTCTCTCCCTCTCTCTCTCTCCTCCTCTCTCTCTCTCTCCTCTCTCTCTCTCTCTCTCTCTCTCTCTCTCTCTCTCTCTCTCTCTCTCTCTCTCTCTCTCTCTCTCTCTCTCTCTCCTCTCTCTCTCTCTCTCTCCCTCTCTCTCTCTCTCTCTCTCTCTCTCTCTCTCTCTCTCTCTCTCTCTCTCTCTCTCTCTCTCTCTCTCTCTCTCTCTCTCTCTCTCTCTCTCTCTCCCTCCCCTCTCTGTGTCTTTTACGAATACTATCACAACCAAATTCATGAATTAAGCTCAGTTTAGGGATTCCAGTGAGGTTAATTTACTTCAGTCGTTGGAGAGGTGACCGCGCCTTGACGCCTCCCCCACCCCAACCTTCAGCGTCCCTCCGAGCGATATGTATGTCCTCAAGCAGCCCGTCCTCCTAAGGTTCCCCAGCGTCAAGAAAACTGTCAATTTAAAGTGGTCTCTCCTAACTTACCAGAGGACCCAAAACAGAAAACGGGACAGTACGTCACTTTGGCCAGCCGTTTTCATTTTCTAGTGCGACGATTTTTGGCCTTATGTATTGCATATGAGGGAAAAGTCCTCCTTCTTTGTAGGAGGACAGGGTTGGGCAGGAGGACAGGGTTGGGCAGGAGGACAGGGTTGGGCAGGAGGACAGGGTTGGGCAGGAGGACAGGGTTGCAGGAGGACAGGGTTGCAGGAGGACAGGGAGGCAGGAGGACAGGTTGCAGGAGGACAGGTTGAACTCGACGAAGGTTTCCCATCCCTCACTAAACATTAACAAAGAGGTACATGTGTTCGAGTCTATCTACTCTCCAGTCTATGTAGGTCGATCACTACCTCCTAAGCCCCGCCTCTCTGCCCTCCCCACCCCCCCATCCCTGGCCTTGTGACATATACCTAGCATCCTTCACAGTCGAAACTGTGAATCGAGTCAGTGTTAATGACCCAATTGCTGCCTCACATATATGACGCAGTCCCTCCTCTCATCTCGTGTAACTCATTTTCATCGCCTGCAAACATTGATAGGAAGTTTGAAGCAGTTTCCCGTGCCAGCTCGATATGAACCGTGAACCGATGCATCGAACCCTTGTGTTCGAATCACATCCACCTTAATATTTCGTTGTGTTTATGTACATAAACTACTTTTGCTGTATCTAACGACTCTTTATCCCCATGTTCGCAGTTCTGTGCTCCCGCGGGTGTGGCGTGGGCGGCGTGTGTGTGGGGGTGGAGCGGTGCAGGTGTGGGCAGGGGTACACTGGCCCTTCCTGTACCGTGGCTGTGTGTGACCCGCCCTGCAGCAACGGGGGTACCTGTACCAGCCCCGGAGTCTGCTCTTGCCCGGAGGGCTTCTCCGGCCTCTGGTGTACCAACAGGTTGGTGGAACGTGTCTCTTGAACAAGAATGGGATTTTGCAGTGAGAGGGAGAGTTAGTGCATGAGGGATGAGGGGTGGTGGGTAGGGAAGAGTGAGAGGGATAGCTTGGTGGGGTGGGACCTGGGAGCCAGATGTGTGTATGGAAGGGATGGGAAGATGCATGGGACGGATAGGAAGGAGCATCGAAGTGATAGGCAGGAACAAGGCAGGGATAGGAAGGAGCATTGGACGGATAGGCAGGAGAAAAGACTGGACTCACTGAAAGGGCCAACGTGTAAGTCTGAACATCTATATTCAGGCTTTATTCAGGAAGGGGGGTGGGTGATTGAGCCGTTCTATCCCAAGCGTGTGTTTCATTCAGACTTCAGGCTTCTCTCTCCGGGCCACTTGGCTTGTTTTAAGGCTTTAGTGTGGGCAAGAGTCGATACGCAGACCAAACCCCCCCCCCCCTCTATTTTTCGTTAGTAATGACTAGTTTTGGTAGCTAAGACATTTTTTGTTCAAGCTATCATTCATTCACATTCTCATTTTCTCTATCTCCCATTCTCTCATTATCTCTCTCTCTCTCTCTCTCTCTCTCTCGTATACTGCTTATATTAAACATTCAGAGGAGGATAGAGTGATTTTCAAAATCTAAATGATGTATATAATTAAGCCCAGAGCATCGTCGCCTGTTAAGCAAGTTTGGCTACACAAAACAGAACCACTATTTGTCTTGTGTAATACGTGTGGATATGGAGCAGGTCGAACCACGTTCAGCTTCACTGCTGTTATTTGAGAACTGGATGTAGCTCGCCAGGTGATGATATTTGATGCATCTGCTCTAAATATATATTTGATGATATTTGATGCTAGAGACTAACTACGCACGTGATGATATTTGTTACCGGTACCAAGCGACTCATTTGATGATATTTTGTAAATCAACCAACCAGTCTACGTCATGATGTTGTCATACATCTGCTCAAATCCCTAGTTGATGATATCAGGTTGATATGATTTCGGTACCAAGTTCCCTTCCCCCCCACCCAGTTGATACCTGTGCAATTGCTTTCTCTGTTGATGATACCTGTTCTATTGGTGTCTCTGATGATGATACCTGTACCGTTGCTCTGTTGATGATATTAAGCGCCTTGCCCTCCACCAGGTCAAATTAATCTGTTCTGTTTCTCTTGGCCTTAATTTTTTTTTTTGTCTGATAATATTTTCTAACTTCGTTTCCACCAGATTGAGATAAAATATTATTAAACCTGCCTTTCCACTTTCCAGTTTTGTCTTTTAGAAATATTAATACATTAGTGGATGACAGCATGTGTGTGTAACCACATAAACTAGCTAAGTCAACCATGTTGTACCACATAAACTAGCTAAGTCAACCATGTTTTACCACATTATATATATACGGCCCCTAATATATATATTAGGGGCCTCGTAGCCTGGTGGATAGCGCGCAGGACTCGTAATTCTGTGGCGCGGGTTCGATTCCCGCACGAGGCAGAAACAAATGGGCAAAGTTTCTTTCACCCTAAGTGCCCCTGTTACCTAGCAGTAAATAGGTACCTGGGAGTTAGTCAGCTGTCACGGGCTGCTTCCTGGGGTGTGTGTGTGAGGTGTGGGAAAAAAAAAGTAGTTAGTAAACAGTTGATTGACAGTTGAGAGGCGGGCCGAAAGAGCAAAGCTCAACCCCCGCAAAAACACAACTAGTAAACACATTAAATAGCTAAGTCAACCATGTTGTACCACATAAACTAGCTAGGTCAAGCATGTTGTACCACATAAACTAGCTAAGTCAACCATGTTGTACCACATAAACTAGCTAAGTCAACCATGTTGTACCACATAAACTAGCTAGGTCAAGCATGTTGTACCACATAAACTGGATAAGTCAACCATGTTTTACCACATAAATTGGTTAATTCTACCTTGCTTTCTCCAGAGAGGAGGAAAAGAAAAAGTGGGAGCAATAGAAAGGGGGGAGGGAAAATAGAGAGAGTGAAGGGAGAGAGAGAGGGGGGGGAGAGACAAGCAGACCCGGGCACCGCCGAGTTCCTTTCTCTTGTGTGTGTATGTGTGTTTTTAACGTGTGTTTTTGTAAATATAATGTTATATATCATGTCTGTGAGTGAGAGAATGTCGGCATTACCTCAAAACACTCTAGTGATCCCTATACCCAAAAAAATTTTTTTAATCTCTTTACACGAGTATAATAAAATTATAGAGTGTATAATTGACATAAATGAGCGTGTGATTTAAGAGAATGCTTCTCTCTGACAGAAGAATTTCTACCCTCTACTGTGCCCACAGGAAATGCAAGTACGTGCCCAAGCAGGTCGCCTACACCAGGAGCTACAAGAAGCTGGTGCCCCAGAGGGTGGAGACCCACTGTGGGGCGTGGGGCTGGAAGAGCTGCACATCTGTGAGACAGAACTACCAGACCGTCACGCAAAAGTTCTACCGTACCGTCTACACCTGCGAGCCCTTACCCTAACCCCCAACCCCTCCATCCTCCCTTCCTCCAATCCACCATCTAATCCAACTCCTTTCCCCACCTCCTGACACACTGGCTAATCACCCCACTGTCTAATCATGCCCGCTAATCCACTTCTTAACCACAACTTACCCCCCCCCCCCCTAACGCACCCAAAACTCCACCTCTGTACCACTCCACCAGTCCCTAAACCCACCCCAATAACTCATTCTCTAAACCCATCACCCCTAGTACAGTCCCTAAACCCCACATATTAAACCATTCCCTTCCCCAGCAACCCAAACATGGCAGACTTGTCTAAAAACATAAACCCCCCTTTTGGTTTTGTTTTAATATGTGTACTTGAATATCCAAGAGCTACAGATAAAGGAAGTATGTATCAGTGGACCTAACACCTGTAGGTTCAGGATGGCCTATACTTCTACCCCCTATATAGTTATGGAGATATAAAGCTTTCCCTTACGTTATATAACGCTGTAAAAACCCTCCCCCTAATGTTTGGTGAGATGTATATTCGTCAAGTGAGTTTAAGGTTAAGGCAGCGAACAATGGTGTTTTAAGGGTGTGTCAATATATAGTGTAAAAAAAAAAATTATTTGTATATTTATTTGCTGTGTGTAGAAGGGCGAGAGGTAGTGTACACAGCTGTCAAGGAACAGCTGTGGGCATTGAACACAGACCTGCATGACTCGTGTCCCCTTTATGCGAGGCCTTAAGCAATTGTCTTAAGCAGTAAGGTCCTTATCCATTTTTGGCCTTGGTAAGGCCTTTAGCTTTTATTTTCTTGGGGGAGGACATTTATATATATAAAGATGTTTGTGTTTGTATGTAAATGGTCCGCCAGATATAAGGTACTAGTTACATCATAGAGATGGAGATGCTGTGATTGCCTACCTGGGGAGAGCTGCTAATGAGTACAGGTAAACTCTCTCTTCATATTACTTATAGCCATCCTATTTCTTCCAGAAATCTCTCCTAAAAGGTTCAAGTATTTTCTACAGAGTGCACACCCTGTATGTTACACAGATAATTACATGCCAAATTTCCACATATCATGTTGAATAAATTAAACAAAATAATATATATAAGTATATATAATATTTTGTTTAATATATTGACTTCTATATATTTCGGGTTCATGTCTGTTTACATAATATATTCCGTACAAGTATTAGAGGTGAAGAGGTTACCCATGTAGAGGTGACTAGATAATCTTGGTCTGTAGTAGACAGAAGGGGCGGTAGGTGTAGTGCAAACTATAGTTGTGTTTTGGTCTTATAAATGATAGAACGTACCTAAGCGAGTTGGCTGTTAATAATTAGGTGAGCGTGCTTGATGTGAAGTGATTCGACTATGTCTAACCACCTATTTTTGAGATATATATATATATATATATATATATATATATATATATATATATATATATATATATATATATATATATATATATATGTGTGTGTGTGTGTGTATATCACGAAAATAAACACGTGATTAAGAATGTGACAATGTCAGACCACGGAGGAAAAATGAAACAGGAAATTTCCTTAAGTACTTTCGTATATTAAATACATCTTTAACCTTCTGAAGATGTATTTAATATACGAAAGTACTTAAGGAAATTTCCTGTTTCATTTTTCCTCCGTGGTCTGACATTGTCATATATATATATATATATATATATATATATATATATATATATATATATATATATATATATATATATATATATATATATATATATATATATATATAATATATATATATAAATATGCAGTGTAAACAGTGACCAGCTTGTAAATACAACACAAAGTTCAACACAGGGAGCTCATCTTATTCAGTACTTCGCTGAATGGTTTAGTGTTGGGCTTCGAGCCTGTTCAAATCTAAAAGGATGTCAAGGCTCTTACGGAAGGTCGCCGACCAAGCAGCAAGTATTCAGTGGGCCTGAATGTTGAACACACGCACGCACGCACACACACACACACACACACACACACACACACACACACACACACACACACACACACACACACACACACACACACACACACACACACGCACACGCACACACACGAGGATTGTAGGATCCTCCAAGAGGGCCTGAACAGGTTGCAGAGATGGTCAGAGAAGTGGCTACTGGAGTTCATCACGAGTAAATGTAAAGTTATGGAAATAGGATCAGATGATAGAAGACCAAAGAGACAGTACACAATGAAGGGGAACTGCCTACCTGGGACGATTCGAGAAAGACCTGGGAGTGGACGTAACACCTAATCTAACTCCTGAGGCACATATAAATAGGATGACGACAACAGCGTATTCTACACTGGCAAAAGTTAGAACATCATTCAGAAACCTGAGTGAGGAGGCTTTAAAGGGCGCTTTACACTGCCTACGTGAGGCCAGTCTTAGAGTATGCCGCGCCATCATGGAGTCCCCATCAGAAGAAACACATAAGGAAACTGAAACGGTTCAGATGTTTGCAACGAGGCTTGTCCCTGCGTTACGAGGGATGGGGTTACCTTACCTTGAGGTTACCTTGAGGTGCTTCCGGGGCTTAGCGTCCCCGCGGCCCGGTCGTCGACCAGGCCTCCTGGTTGCTGACATGAAGAGGTATGAAGAGTTGCTGGGGTATGAAGAGCGCCTGAAGGAACTGAAATTACGACACTAGAAAAAAAAAGAAGGGAGAGGGGGGATATGATAGGAACGTATAAAATACTCAGGGGAATTGACAAAGTGGAAATAGACGAAATGTTCACACTTAATATTAACAGAACGAGGGGACATGGGTGCAAGCTGGAAACTTAGATGAGTCACAGAGATGTTAGGAAGTTTTCTTTTAACGTAAGAGTAGTAGAAAAATGAAATGCACTTGTTGTGGAAGCAAACTCTATTCATAATTTTAAAACTAGATATGATAGTGAAATGGGACAGGAGTCATTTACTCTAAACAACCGATGGCTAGAAAGGCGGGATCCAAGAGTCAATTCTCGATCTTGCAGGCACAAATAGGTGAGTACACACACACACACGGCTTTATTCATAAGCCATTCAATAATGCTCTTCAAAACCCCTAACATTAAAGAAAATCGTAGTAAAGCACCTTTTTTCTACTCTCTATTTCTGCCTTGGGATCTCAATGCTACTCCCAGCATAATTTAGTCTGTGAGCAGCCAAGCCACACCTCCGAGGAGCTGTCACCAGCACATTAAATCTGTGACTGAGAAGGTCACAAGCACCAAGATCAAAAACCAGAAACTTCAAGGTGCTCCAAAAATATGTTATTAAAACGGTCCTGAGTGGGAACCAGCACGTTGTACCAGGGTGGTACACGGACCGATTTAGTTAAACTGGAATATTTACATGGACACAATACCGCAACATGCAAATACTTGTATATATTACACTGAACGAATTTATTCTTTTGATCAAAATAACCAGAGTGCTTTAGGTAAGTACAGTATAGTTAAATATAAGTCCTACACTAAAATCAAATTTTACTAAATAATGTTTTACAGCTGTCTTTCAGGCAGAGCAATACTTTTAACTTAATGGGATAGATCAAGTAGTTTTAATAAGTTTTTTACGTTATATTCGAAACGAAACATCTCGTAAACCCGACCCTGAAGCACTTTTTGTAAAATTTCGTCGTCAAATTGATTGAATTCGAATTGACATTCAAAAAGTCAATTCAAATGGGTTTCTAGTGTCTAAACTCTCAAAGTCCTGAACTATGTTCCAGACCGATGGATACTTACTAGCTGGTCTGAAAGCTAGAATGCCAGGGCTTCAGTAACTCTGTAGAGGGGACTTGACGGTCCCAAAGACCAAACCAATCATTCCCTAGAAGAAAATCTACGCGCTAAGAAGTTTTCTTGCCTGAAAAATTTGTGACAGAGGCAGAAGGATAGTGATCTGTTTAGATTACCGCAGTTTACACCGCCATAAAGTAAACCAGAGACTTGCATCAGGCAGTGTGTGTATACTGTCTACGGCAGGTGAACTCTGAATATCTTCCGTGGAACGTTGAACAATCCTGGATAAAATACATGGACATTTCTTGAACATTAGCTATCCAGTTGTCTGTAAACGCTTGGATTATTTTTTGTTGTTGTTCAATTGGATAGTGACATAATGTGTGTCTCTTTTTGCTGTCAATGTTTACAATTGGTCAGAGCTACTTCAGCAGGTGGTCCAAACTCCTTGGGTTAGTTGCAGTCTTATGTGTGTGTGTCTCTGTCCGTGTATGTGGGTATGGAGTCCACTATCAGTCACAAGATGGGAATGGGGTCCACGGCCAGTCACAGGTTGGGTATGGGGTCCACGGCCAGTCACAGGATAGGTATGGGGTCCACGGCCAGTCACAGGTTGGGTATGGGGTCCACGGCCAGTCACAGGATAGGTATGGAGTCCACTGACAGAGTGGCACCATCCTGTGTATGGGGGTTTGGGGTTGACCCCTCAACCCCAGCAAGGACAGAAGAAATATCGAAAAGGTTCAGAGGGTTAGACCAGGTTTAGCAACAAGATGAAACGCAAATCACGGAACAGTTTGGCGTGTCGTGTCTTCTGTATTCTAGCGATTTCCTGCATATTCGTCGAATCACGTGATAACTTTTTGATTCATATACATATCTATACATGTACGTATCCATGTATGCATACAGGCCAGCCCCCCTCAAAACCACATGCTTGAATCCTAATATCTCGGATGATTTCCTGAACATTACTGTAAATACGAGTGTGTCTTGTGCTTGTATGAGTCTTTTACGTCACTTAATCTTCCTCCTGTATCATAAAGTATAAGTTATGATAATTACTATTATGTCAATAAATGTGAATAATTAGTCGGTAATGTATTTTCCTTTACCCCTTAATTGGTTTAATTTCGAATTAGCCCTCTATTTTTGAGGGATCACTTAAGTGGCTTTACTTAAGTCCTTCGTACTTGTGGTCATCACTTATCCCATCCTGCAGCTGGTCATCCTACTTAGGATGGATTACTCTCATAATCTTCATGGAAGTACTTATCAGTTGTCCTCAGGTAAATAACATTCTTGTGTAGTGATTACCTGGTCACGTCTCCCATTCATGATGTCCAGATAACACACAAGAGGGGAAATAAACACCTGCCTCAATATATGACAATATATTGACAATATGTGCTCGAGGTAATGTGACGAGCATCGCTGATCAAGGTAATACTTCCACACTCTTGGCGTTTATAAACGCCCAGCCTGCAGCTGTTCTTCCCCAGCCTGCAGGTGTTCTTCCCCAGCCTGCAGCTGTTCTTCCCCAGCCTGCAGCTGTTCTTCCCCAGCCTGCAGTTGTTCTTCCCCAGCCTGCAGGTGTTCTTTCCCAGCCTGCAGTTGTTCTTCCCCAGCCTGCAGCTGTTCTTCCCCAGCCTGCAGTTGTTCTTTCCCAGCCTGCAGTTGTTCTTCCCCAGCCTGCAGGTGTTCTTCCCCAGCCTGCAGCTGTTCTTCCCAGCCTGCAGCTGTTCTTCCCCAGCCTGCAGGTGTTCTTCCCCAGCCTGCAGCTGTTCTTCCCCAGCCTGCAGGTGTTCTTCCCCAGCCTGCAGCTGTTCTTCCCCAGCCTGCAGCTGTTCTTCCCCAGCCTGCAGCTGTTCTTCCCCAGCCTGCAGCTGTTCTCCCCCAGCCTGCAGCTGTTCTTTCCCAGCCTGCAGCTGTTCTTCCCCAGCCTGCAGTTGTTCTCCCCCAGCCTGCAGCTGTTCTTTCCCAGCCTGCAGCTGTTATTCCCCAGCCTGCAGCTGTTATTCCCCAGCCTGCAGCTGTTCTTCCCCAGCCTGCAGCTGTTCTTCCCAGCCTGCAGCTGTTATTCCCCAGCCTGCAGTTGTTCTCCCCCAGCCTGCAGCTGTTCTTCCCCAGCCTGCAGGTGTTCTTCCCCAGCCTGCAGCTGTTATTCCCCAGCCTGCAGTTGTTCTTCCCCAGCCTGCAGCTGTTATTCCCCAGCCTGCAGTTGTTCTTCCCCAGCCTGCAGCTGTTATTCCCCAGCCTGCAGTTGTTCTTCCCCAGCCTGCAGCTGTTCTTCCCCAGCCTGCAGGTGTTCTTCCCCAGCCTGCAGCTGTTCTTCCCGTAGCCTGCAGCTGTTCTTCCCGCAGCCTGCAGCTGTTCTCCCCCAGCCTGCAGTTGTTCTCCCCCAGCCTGCAGTTGTTCTCCCCCAGCCTGCAGCTGTTCTTCCCCAGCCTGCAGCTGTTCTCCCCCAGCCTGCAGTTGTTCTCCCCCAGCCTGCAGCTGTTCTTCCCCAGCCTGCAGTTGTTCTCCCCCAGCCTGCAGCTGTTCTTCCCCAGCCTGCAGGTGTTCTCCCCCAGCCTGCAGCTGTTCTTTCCCAGCCTGCAGGTGTTCTTCCTGCAGCCTGCAGCTGTTCTCCCTCAGTATGCAGCTGTTCTTCCCGCAGCCTGCAGCTGTTCTCCCCCAG